TACACCAGATAAGAAAAAAATCCCCAATGAGGGAGCAGAGAGCTTGAAAGGCCAATAGGTTCTGAGCAAGGATCAAATCAATTGGAGGCAACTCAGTTGTATGTATATTGCAAGGCTGATCAAAGATTGATATATGTATGCCAAATGTGGTCCAGAATAGGACAGCTAATGAGAATCCGGCCTGTTGGGCCTCAAGGAGCTGCCACGTGGCGCTCAAAATGGCGGCCGTCAGTGATTGACCTAATTTAATAATGACCTGGGAAATCCTAATGGGTGGAATCCGACTTAAAGTCCAAAATTGTGCACAAAAACCAGAAATTTAAACTAGTAAACTAGGCCCTTGCAGCTCCACGCCCTAACAATGGCCTTAAAATGGCGGCCGCAGCTCAATCCGCTAGGAAAAGAACGGCTCCGCGGTCTAATTTACAATTCTCAGGTGGCCGGATCGATTGCTAGAGCCGCGCTGAGAGCGATAGTGAATTTTCCCCCCCTTCGATCTGTTTCTGATCGCTAGGAAAGAAAGGCCCAAAAGAGCTTCGTTGCCTTTTTCGGCAACCAAAATGGCGGCCGCGATCGCTCCCAACGGCTTAGAATGAGTCCGGAGGACTTAAATAGCTCCCAATGCAGTTCTACAGGCTGCAGGAGCAATCGGTCAGCCTAGGAAGGAAGAACAGCCGTTCGTCCTAAAAGAACTGTTAGGGAGCTTTCCCCCCCCCCAGATCTCTGGGGAGAGAAGTAAAGGATCGTGAAGATTTCCCCCCCCACTCCCTTACCTCCCTCAAGGGTGGAAAACAAACTAGCACTGATCCCAGTGCTAAAAATTTTAAAGGAGAAACTCAAAGAGGTGATTAGGAGTTTTAAAAGGGATTTTAAAGGGAAAGGGAGAATTCACAATAGGCTTTCTAACCTGCTATTGACTGAGAGCCAAACCTGACACGTCGTCAAGAGCTGAGACCAAGTTAAAGACTGGCCAGCAAGAGGGGGCGTGTCAAGTTTGACTACTTGGTCTCAAGAGCAGGC